ATCCACCATCTTTTAAGGAATGGACATTCCAAGGAAAAGGTCCCACTATTTTGCTCTTTAACCCATCTTCAAATTTAAGAGATGATGTTATTAAAAAAAAAAAAAAAAAAAAAGGTTTAATCTGTTCTTCCATACTTTTACTTCAAAGTTTTATTTTTGTGGATATCCAAAATTAAAAGTAAATTTAAATCAATCAAATAATGTGAATTTTGTGATTGGGATGTTTTATTTTAATAGGAATGAAACCATATTTTCTTCTGTCAAAATAGGATTTAGAAGTGTGGAAATTTGTGATAGAGGAGTTTTGTTTTAATGGGAATGAAAATTTTTATTTATTGGTTTTTCTTTTCTTTCTAAATCTTACTTAAATATACTAACCAAAATAAATAAATAAATTAAAAAAAAATTAAAGTACAGCACTTAAATTTCATCCTATTAAAACACATCTCCAAATTAGTATTAGATCCATATAGAAACTCATATGACCGAAATTAAGAATGTCATCTTCTTCTAGGACTAAACGTTGCATCCTCTAAAAGGAGAACAAGAAACCTAGAAAAAAAAAAAAATTTAAAAATTAGGACTTTTCTTCTATCAATATGAGATTTAGGAGTGATTACTTGATTGTAAGAGTTTTGAGGTCTTGATTGCAAGAGTTTTGAGGTCATGATACGGTAAAAAATTAATCTACAATCATATGACAACGACATTGATTGACTTGATCTTATATTTTATTTTTATCAAACTTATTTTAGAATTTTTTATAACTGCAAATATAAAGCTTTGAAAAAAAAGTATGGAAGAAGAAAGAAGAAATATATATTTTTTTAGTATAATTATATCCTCACGTCAATTTTAAGATGAGGACTAAAGAGAAACACAATGGGGACTAAAAATTACTTCACTTTTATTAAATACACATCTTGAATTAAACTAGGCCCATTCCCATAATTTTGTCTTAATTCACAAAGTAAACAAGTTCTAAGAGTTAAATTCTCATGTTTGAATATTTAATAATAAGTTATTGTTCTAAAGGGATTTTATTTTTAGCCCTCACCATATTTTTTATCCTTTATATCTTGTTTTAAGTAATGATATAATTGTAATAAAAATTCATTTGCTTCTTTTACCGCTTACATATATTTTGATAACAATTTTAAAAAACTAGGATTTTCTAGTGCATGTATGTCTCTCGGGCTTCTCTAATTATCCAAGTCACGTTCATGTATGTAGGAATTATTTTCTTTACTATTTCTATCTCAATCAAATTGCTCTTACTAGGGGTGAGCATGGGTAAAAGATAGAACCTCAATCGGTGGGTAGTACCCATCGGTTCTGGAAAATTAGAATTGGGAATTCCCAAGTTCGGCCCTGGTTCCTATAATGCTGGAACTGAGAACCAAAGCCGGAATCGAGGTCTGGATACCTGGATAGGAATCGAGATTAAATTATAATTTTTGTAAACTATTGTGGGTGTATATGTAATTTTTTGGGGGTGTATTTGTACAAAGTAGGGGGTAATGTAATTATTCGGGTATTGGAATAGGATTTGGAACCTATGTTTCAGGTTTTGGTTCCAAGTTTCTAGGAACTGGAACCAACCGGTTTCGATTCTGGTTCCGATTTCAAAACTTTGGAACCGGTCGATTCCGATTCCTTCAAAAAATGCAGCATATTTTGAACCGATCACCACTAGCTCTTACTACCCTTCCACTCCTCAAAAGTCCAAACCAATCAATAGCGCTTACTTAAGAGCATGATTACATGTAAAGGGATGGAAAGTTCCATTATATTCCAAAGCTAAAAGATTATATTTAATAGTATTAGTTACGTTTCATGTTATATGTGAGAATCCTAGGATTGAACGAGAAGAAGCTAGGAAAGTATAACATTTTCTAGAGAAACAAACAAAAAAATTGAGAGAAAATAGAATTTTTCAAAGTTGTGGAAACTTCAAGTCAAGAAAGAACGACCTCAATGAACGCTTATTCCTAGAGTTCATCAAGCTGTTCCAAGAAGGAACGACACCATTCCAAGTCTAGAATTTTTGAACTTGAAGAGATCCAAGATGGAACGCCCATTTGCGATAGGGGAACGACCAATCCATGTAGGGGAACGACCATTCGAAACCCTAAAATTCAAAGAAAAATGACCGTTGGTGTTAGGAACACTCGTTCTTGAGGTTGGAATGCTCGTTCCTCTGGGTTCTACAACTTTACAGAAGTGCATTAAATGCAACAACAACTCTAATCTTTCAGGGGTTTGTGAAGACTTAAATAGGGCAATTTATTGCAAGAAAAAAATATAAGAGAAGAGAGATAATAGTGCAACATCTAACAATCAATCTTGCAAACCCAAGTTAATTCTCTCATTTGTATTCAAACTCATATCACTACAAGAAATATATTATATTGTGACAAAATTAATTTTATCAAAAGCTATTTTGTCACAAGTAATATACATATTGTGACAAAATAAAAAAAAACATCACATTAAGTATGACAAAGGGAATATATAGTGACTAAAAAAAATATTGTCATAATATTTTATTACAATAAAGAAATCCATAAGAAATATAGTGAAGAAAAACAATTTTATCATAATATTTCGTCACAAATTTTTGGCGCCAAATTTTGGCACCTAGGTAAATTGTTTATTGTGACAAACATATTTTGTCATAAAACATTTTAGTCACTATATTTAGTTATACATGCTATAACTACAAATTATTTTGTCCCAAAAGAATTTATTTATTGTTACAAAAATAAATTGTCATAATATATGCTGAAATTGAGATATTAATGACAAAATGTTTGAATCAAAATTTAAGCGCCGAGATAAATTGTTTATCGTGGCAAGCCATATTTGTCATAAAAAACTTTAGTCACTATATTTAGTAATACATGCTATAATTACAAACTAATTTATTATAAAAGAATTATTTATCATTACAAAAAAAAAAAAAAAATCATTTGTAAATGTTAAAATCGAGGTATTAGTGACAAAATATTTGAGTCAAATTAAATGTGATATTTTGTGACAAAAATTTGCTAAAAAAACATAATTAATGTGCATACAACTATTTGTCATTCTTCTCAAGTTTTAAGCAATAACATATGTCATTAAAAAAAAAAAACTCATTAAAAGAATTAAGTAGCGAAATCAAATTAAAGATGTTTTCGACTGAAGGAGTGCATTTAGAAGTGCTCTTCTCCAAACGATGATCTTTTTTAGTAATGTTATTTGGGCCCATTATAAGTCTTTCTAAACGTTAGCAATTAAAGTCAAGTATGGTAGCAATTAAAGTCAAGTATGGGCCTTTATGGGCCTAATAAAAAACATCAGAAACGGGGAGGGGGTGTTACTTCAGAAATTATTTAACACAAGAATAATTACTAAGAGTAAGAATTAAGTAACAAAAATCGAACTAAAGATGATTTTCATTCAAGGAGTGTATTTAAAAGTACTCATCTCCAAATGATTATCTTTTTAGTAATGCTATTTGGCTCAATCACAAGTCTTTCTAAACGTTGGTAGTTAAAGTTGATGTGTGAGCCTTTATGGGCTTGGGCCTGGTAAAAAAGGCCAAAAAAGAAGAGGGAGGGAAGGAGGGAGGGTTCTTTAGAAATTATTTAACACAAGAATAATTACGAACAAGAATTAAGTAACAAAAATTTAATTAAAAATGATTTCAATTCAAGGATTGCATTTAGAAGTACTCATCTCCAAACGATGATATTTTTAGTAAAACTATTTGGGCCCATTACAAGTCTTTCTAAATATTGGCAGTTAAAGTAGATGTGTGGCCTTTATGGGCCTGATAAAAACATAAGAGAATTTCGATATTTCATCTCTAGCAGCCACATACATTGTGTTTAATGACATTTATCCCATTAGACACGTTTAATAATTATGTCATTAAGTATATGAATTATGAAGAATTTAATTTTTATTTCAAAAATTTAAAATTATTTTCTTATCTAAACATGTATAAATTATCTTATTGCAAGAAAAAAAATTACTAGAATAATTTATTTTTCAACAATTTCCCAAATTACAAATATTTTTCAAAAAAATTATTAATGACATCCTAGAACATCCTTAATTTTATTTGTCACCAATTATTTAAAAAAAAATCAAAATAACCTTTAAATAGTTTTTTTTAAGTGAATCAAAATTTAAAAATAAAAAATTAACAGTAATTATTACTGTAAATAAACATTTTCATTTTTAATTAAAAACTTAAAACATAAAATAAAATAAATGCAATCGCTTTCGTGTACCTTTAGATTTCTTAGGGTCCACTTGGGAGTTTTATGGTAGTGGTTATGAGGGTAAACCACCGTAGCAGTTTTGAGGGTAAACCACCGCAGTTGTTTTGAGGGGTTTTTAGTTGTGGTTTTTAAAACACCCAACATGTGCTTGAGAGTTTATTTTCAAGCGGTTCTGACACTTTTTTAAAATGATAAATATACATATATGCCCATAAATTTTATACCAACTTCAACCAGTACTTGGGAGTTTTATTTTTTCAATTACAAGGTATGAGTTCTTTATTTGTTTTCTACTTATTAGAATTTTATAACTTCAAATGTGATAAAGTCTCCTTATTCTTCTTCGTCATTCTTTGTAACATCTGGAATGATTGATAAATTGTAGCTCTACTTCTTCAAGAAAGCATCTAGAAATGAGATTTTAATTTTTTTTTTATGATTGCTTAAAATTATTTTATATTTAATATGTTTGGAGACGTGCATAATATGGTTAATTTTTTTTTTGATATAATTGGGATAATTTTATAGTGGATAGGGTATTTGTGAAATAAAATTTTAAAACCAATCAAAATACCCTAATTTGGGTTGTTTTATAAACCCTTAAAAATACGCTACATTGGTTTTAGAGGGTTTTTTAGACAGTCAAAGCCAGTATATAAAAAATCTGATAAAACAATGGATTTAGAATACCTCGTAACTAGTCTAATTAAAAACCCTTTGAAACCGATGGAAAAAAAAAAAAAAAAAAATCCCACACATGCCCTTACAAAGCGAGGAAGAGAAGAAGGGTTTTTGTTGAGAAACCTTCCCATTTCCCCTTTAACCTTTCTTTTTTCCGCATCAACCCTCTCAATTTTCCCCATTTTCTTTCTTTATTCCTTTTGCTCTAATTTTGATCTCGTCCTCGTGGCCACCATCGGAAACGAAAACATGAATGCCAGATTGGTTAGCTTTTTGTAATTTTGACTTGTTTCATTTCTTTATTTTGGTTGATTCTTAGATGGGTCTGGGTCAATTGTTTGACATTTTGTTTTGATGATTTTTTTGTGGTTTTTTAGGCGAACTTTGATGTGGGTTTATTTTAATTTTTCAGAATTATGATCAGAATTCTGCATGTTCTGATGTGGGTTTACTTTGTAAATTGGTATCGATTGTTTATGCTTAATTTTGATGGAAAATTCTGATTTGGGTTTGCTTTGAAATTTAATTTTGATTCAGCAAAATTCATATAACAATTATGTTTATTCATTAATTGCTAATCATAAAGCTTATTTTATCATTTATCTTTTTAGTTTGTTTATGGTGATGGTGTTGTTATGAGTTTTCATGTTTAATTAAATGTTTGATTAACATGATGGCTACTAATATTGAATGGATTTTAGGGCAAATTACATTTTGGCTTTGTTTCATTTGCAAAATAATTCATGTGGGTTTGCTTCGAAAAGTAGTATTGCTTCCTTGTGTTGAATTATGATGTAAAATTGTGATGTGGTCTTGATTTGGAACTGTGTTTCATTCATTAGTTGCTGGTGCTAGCGTTGTTTAGAACTTTGATGTTTAATTGTATGTTTTACCATGTTTTGATATATTCTTTGTATTTATTTTTTCTGAAATTTGGTTTTGATTGATGTTTGTTTGTGCTTTATGCTTTAGGTTTTGCTTGGAGATGTTGGAGCTGGAAAGACTAGTCTTGTGTTGCGCTTTGTTGAGCAATTTGTTGATTTTAGGTATTTTGGACGACTTATAGTTGCTAGTGAACCTTCCCCTTTTGGTTTCAAGAGTTTGATTTTTTTATATAATTTTTGTAGGAATCGACTATAGGCGTTGCCTTTTTCTCACAAACATTGGTTGTAAATGATGCCACGGTAAAGTTTGAGATTTGGGATACAATAGATCAAGAGAGGTACCATAGCTTGGCACCAATGTACTACAAAGGAACTTCTACCGCCATTATTGTCTATGATATAACAAATCAGCCAAAAGTCGGCCAATGAATTTATTTCCCATTAGGATATGGAATCTTCGAACTGCTCATTGTTAAAAATTTAAGGTGTAAGACCTACAGAAAAGAGCTTTGTAATCCTTGAGACTTGAGGAGTTGAGTCTCGGGGATTAAGCCTCTTGCCTACCGTCTAACTTGTTTAAAAGGAACTAGATATGAGAGATGAAATACAGAGCTATGTACCTCTATTTTATGATTCAAGGTGGTGATCCTGCTGGTACTGGAAAAGGAGGTGAATTTATATGGGGAAAGCCCTTCATAGATGAAGTGAACTCCAAGTTGCTTCACTCTGGAAGGGGTGCTGTTAGTATGGCAAACAATGGTCCACACACAAATGGTTCCCAGTTTTTCATTTTGTATAAATCTGCAAATCATTTAAACTTCAAACATACAGTTTTTGGAGGAATTGTTAGTGGTTTGACTGCATTGGTAGTGATGGAGAAGGTTCCTTTTGATGACAATGATCGACCTCTGGTGAGTTCTTTTTTAGCATTAATCTCTCCAAAACTACATATATTGTAAACCTGTATCTAATTTTTACTGCTTTTTGTTTTACAATTAAATGGTATTCCCTGATTAATGATAGATGCAGTGTGTGTTTAGCATATGATCCTTTTGGGAAGCAAGACTTTCTGTTTATATTAGTCCTTTATGCCTTTTGAATTTTGGTGAATGCCGTGTTAGGAATCAGTATATTATTTGGTAACATATGTTATCTGGAAGGTTGAGCATCAAACTGGCTTCAACTTAACTCAAAAGCTGCATATATAGAAACACAAAGTTCATGATTTATCAAAAGCTGCATATCTAGAAATACAAATTTCATGATTTATATGAAGATACTTTAGTATGTTCTGAACAAATTAGTTGCTAGATCTGCCTTGATCATAAAATTAGTTGACTTAAATTAAATTATTGAATCCTGCCCTCATTATATGTTGTTTTCCTCTCATTTGTGTAGGAGGAGATTAAAATAACCAGCGTAACACTAATTGTCAATCCTTACTCAGAACCAAATGAAGAAGAGGAAGAGAAGGCCAAAGAAGAGGAAAATGCTGGGGATGAAGATAAAGTTTGTTTCAGGACTCTTGTAAACATCAGCTGCCTTTAGAAATCATCATTATTGAGATGACACAAAATATTTGTCACGCCTATATTATTTTGACAATAAAAAATTTGTCATGTAACAATATTTGTATTAAAAATTATTTGTCATGCTATTAAATATTTAAAAAAATTATTTCTGTCATTATACAATTTTTGACAAAAAAAAAAAAAATATTGTCATATAAACAAACATGTGACAAAATAAATATTGTCACAATAAAGTCAATGACAAATAATTTCTGTCACTATTAAAATTATGACCAAATAATTTAGTCACCATTCACAATTTTGACAAAATCAATTTTGTTATAATATATGATTTTTTTTCACCATAAAGCTTATCATTTGGTCTTTAAATGTAAATCAATTGTGACAAAATATTACTTGTAGTGATAAAAATTGTTTTCTATTGTTACAAATAATTTATTATAATAAACTAGTTTAAAGTGACAAATTATTATTGTCACAATAAATAATTAGGCTATGGTGACTAAACGCTCTTTCGTCACCATACACTTAAGAGTACGAGCTTAATGTGACCAACCTGGTGACCAATATAATTCCTCACATTAGAGAAATGGTCACAATTTTGATATTTATAGTGACAAATTATTGTGTTGTGAGAAGGCTAAATTCTTGTAGTGTATCCTTAGAGAGAAACTAAGAACCTATTGTATATTAGCCTAGCTTAGAGGCAATCATTCACAAAAAAATATTTATCTTATCTTTGTGGGCGAAATCCTATAAAGCTAAAGGTGAAATCCTATCAAACGATTGTAGAGGTGAAATCCAGTGAAAACTATTGTGGATTTCTGGTTGTCATTTGACCATCAATAACAACCAAGATATGATCGTCGTCAATGGCTAGATCTGGTGGTCAATGGCTAGTTCCATGGTAGATCTAGCTAGAAACGGCTAAATCTGTGCACAACCGACCAGATCTAGCTGGTCGTGCGCTATTCCAATGATTTTCGTGGGTGGGTGGGGGTGTTTTTATTCATTTATAAACTTTTATTGAGAAATGTAATTGTTAAATGTTTTGAGTTGAATAGAATATGATTGGATTTTGAATTGAATAGTCAATATTAAAACAAATACGTATTTCACTATAGGATAGTAGGATATGATAGAGTTTGAAAAGTTAAACCGGGGGGGAAGGGGTGGGTTAATATTCTAGTAACTACCCTTTACCCTAATTAAAAGAAATATATTTGTCGTTATTTCTTTTTGAGCTCTTCACCTTTACATCATCAGCATCCTCAGAGCATACTAGAAAAATAATCTACCTGTGAGTTTCCATTCCTTTAATTAATTATTTTCAATTTCTTATTTGCAAAAATTTTTTTTTATTATTTCAATTTCTCATGATGATTCTTTTTGTTATCTGGTTATGAACTTAGTAGTGGTGGCCTTTTTTTTTTCATGAAATATTAAATCAACAACGCCATTGCAAATAGCCTTCAAGTTTGTCATATATAGGTCCTTTTGTAAAGCAATAGGTCCCACAATATATAGATTCGGGACAAACTCTTGTTCTATCTTACAATTTCGTCTATGAACTTTCTTGTGCTATGCATGCTTGAGATTTATATATTGTATAGTTAGGTACCTCTATAAAAAAAATTAAAAATAATAAACAAACACAAAAAACGAGAGTGTTCTCATTCCTCACATGTTGTTATATTTTGTATGTATAGATGAGTATTCAAATGTACTTTACACTGGTGAAAGAAATTGTTTTCTAATTACATAGTCAAACTAATCAAGCATGCAAGGCTTTTTTTTTTTTTTTAATTTATATATATTTATATGGTTTAATGATCATGTCTTTGTATATTTTTCTTTGATTGAACAGTCTCATCCTAATGCCCATGGATTTAGAAACAAGCCATTTCCTTGTTTTGACCAACTTGCTCGAATATTTGGCAAAGATTGAGCAACTGGAGCTACAACGGGTTCTCCTGTAGATGTTGTTGAAGAGCTTAAAAGAGAAGAAAAAAATGCAAGGACTACATTATATGCATAATGTTTCCTCATACACCTTGTTGGACGATGAGAATGAGGAAATACAATCACAATTCTTGACCAATGATTCACCAAATAGCCATAAGGCAAGTCATATTGCTTATTCTGCATGCAACCAAAGTGCAAACCAAGCTAGCCCATCTACTTCTCAACAACCACATGCCAAAAAGAAACAAAAAATTTCTAATACCGAGATGCTCATATAATCTTTTCTTGTCAAATGTCTAAACTAGAAGGTATCTTGAAGGGTGCAGGTGAGCATATCTCTAAACTTGTTGATTGTTTTCAATATGAACAAGATGTAGCTATGAGAAGGATGAAGATATATGAGGAACTGAAAAAGATTGATGACATTTATGAAATTCAAAGATTGGTTGTGGCAAGAAAGTTAAATGTGTTAGAGTAGGTACCCTAGAGCCAATCCATTATTGTAATATTGATTCTTTGTAAGAATGTTTATAATCAATAAAAGGCTTTTTCAACATCATGTAATTCGTATTCATTGTATGTTGTGATGTATGTCCTTATAATGGTAGAATCGTGACGAGGGTATCGAGTGTTTCAAATCTCGATAGTGAAGACCTTATAATCATATATGGTGGCCATTTTAGAAATGTCTGTAGCCCCAATATTATTTTGACTAAGAACATAGATAATATGGTAAGACTATCATAGATAATATGGTAAGACTATCATAGTGTTGAACGACTGTGTCGAAAGGCAATGACTGATCTCACTAGTCAAGGTTGTTTGTCGACAACCTGGTGCAACACATGGTACTTGCTATAGGCGAGTTCATTGGACAGACCCATCAGAGGATTCCACATAGATGGCAACTCTAGTGTTTGTGGAATAAATTCTCTAACGGATGATGGTGTATGTGATCCTTAGACTTGAGATAACCGGAGTGCCTTGTGCACCAATTAGTGTAGTTTGACATTAGCCTCACGTAGTTTTATTCAGGACTATCAGAACAATAGTGATTGACTATCAAGAAGTGTATCAATACTATGGTAGATTAATTGATGATTCATCACTCCTGGGTACGATATCTCATTGAGCAATTCTGTAAATGGCAACGACACTAAATCTGTGACCACAGTGAGATTGAGTTTAGCTCAATCCAATCTATTTTAGTTGTTGGTCCAATAACCGAATACAAAAAGATAAAAGAGATATGAGGTTGACACTACTTTTGTACCTCAGTCTTGATGCGATAATAGATGATGAAAGGATTTGATTGTACGATAACCATATAGTTGATAGGTAGTTGTTTTGCTAAATCTGAATCTATCGGGTGGCTATTATGCCTTGCTAGAGGCCAATCTTGGTCTGTGTTTAGTGAGATGATTGATTGAGAGTCAATTGCAAAACTACTCACTATCGATATGATGAGGAGCCTTTGAGTCACACACATAAAAGACAGATAAAGGATAAGTAAGTGAGAAGGGTATTTTCGTCTTTTAAGATAAAAATGGTATTTTAGTAATCTCACAATACAATTAGATTTGCTGAGGTTGTTGCCTATATTTAATTTCATATGGAAATTAAAATAAGTGAGATTGTGTATTTAAATATATATGGCTTAGTTTGTTTAGTTTTTTCAGTTTGTTTAGTTTTTTAGAATAGCATTCTATGTTGAATAACATTTTTGGAAAATAGGATAGGATGAGAAGTTTTTGGTACATTTTTGGAAAATATTTAGATTATTTTTAACCCCCTAGATTTGTTAATTTAACTAAACATCCCCCACAATAGAAGTTTATAAATTGATAAAAACACCCCCACCCATCCACAAATATCCGAAAACCAGCCACCATTGTCGGAAGGTGGTTGGAATCTGCAGGAATGGCGCACAAT